ATGGAATAATGAGTATGCCTGATTCCACACCTGTGCCCTTAATTTTCTCATCTGAGCTTCTTGGGCAGCTTGCTTTTTAGAAAGCTGCTCACCTGGAAGAAACAATAAGTTTTAGACATTTGAAAACTTGAAATGGCATAACAAGAGTCCACAATATTATAGGGCTTATAAACTTCAAAGGAATGAAGATATTTCTCCAAATAATCTTATATACGTGTCAACCAGGTAAAAGATTAAACTGTGTCAGCAGGAGACTCTAGACAAACATACCAATCAAAAAAAAAGGAGACTCTAGCCAAAGGTTCAGCAACAGATAAAGTTCCTCACAAAAGGCTGGATATGATGTAACTTACAGCATGCACAAACTTCAGACTTCTTCCAAGGAACCCATGTTTTAAGACATGAGTACCTATCAGATTCTCCAATTACACCCAAACAGCCTATTCGACCAATCTTGAATTTCAATTTTCTCTAATGAAATTAAAATTAGAGAAGAGATAGAATCCTAGTGAGCCTAAACACGCCCTGTAATTTGAAAAGCTTTATAATGCTTGGTGCAGTTGTAGGTGTAAATTTTGAGACCCATTTATGTCCGTGTCCTAAACTGATCACTGCCCAATGCTGATCAGATTCTGGACTCATAATATATGCCTAAACCCAATTTGCTAATGTAGCACAGTTGACTACTTACTCATTTCCAACCCCCACAAACATCTAGCTATCAAGTTACTTCCAGATATCTAATCAATGTACCATAGCTACCATCTAAGTAGCATTGATACAGATACCATAGCTACCATCTAAGTAGCATTGATACAGATACCAGTATCATGTAAGATACAAGTATGACATGAAGACATGGAATTTATCTTTAAAATATATATATTTGTATCTTTCATAAAACCTGTAAGTGGAACAATTATTACGCTGTTATAACTACTCCTCAATCCCAAGGTAGATGCAGTTGGCTATATGAATTCTTGCTATCCATTTGAGCCCGTTTCTTTCAAATATTCAATAATTTAGGTTCTCGAGCACTAAAAGCCCCTCTACTAAAACATACAAACTTCTAAAAAGGTTATTGAACACAGAACCTAACATAATATTACCAACATGACTAACCCTTAATCCCAGCTAGTTGGTATCACCTATATGGATCTTTTTCTTAGGTTTTATTTTTCGGCAAGTCTGCATAAGTTCCAAGATATTGTACGTCTTTTGAAATAATTTATTTCCATGTAATTTACGTCTAACACATCTCTTTTTTAACACCTTCAGTTGTCATGGTTACACACCTTAGACCGGTGTATCTGAAGGTCTAATCTTGACCTAGTGTCCTATCCTCTCCAAGTAACCGTAATTTAGTTCACTAGAGTGCCTAAGGTGGCTCGTTGTCCTCTGTTCTTTAAAGATGCCACCTACAAGCCTAAATAAACAAAACAGAAAAGCAAGAAGCATCTATAGATCATAACTTTCAGAAAGAAACGTAAAAACACATAATGAACTGTCATGGATTCAACTCGGGAACTGTTAAACTTCATCATCAGACATCATAATATAATTCAAACCATTCAAATACCAACAAAACTATCAAGCCAATTACAAAATGTAAATGTGCAAATTGAGATCAAGATTATGTGAAATGAAAATTTCTCAATCCTAATTCCTAACACACTGCATCAACTTCTTACAGCATCACCATCGAGCCTTCTTTCTGTTTTAAATTTTTCTTTTGACACTGCCTACATATTAGCAACAAGCATGATCCACACATATATTTTTTGATAAGGTAAATGATTACATAAATGATGGGAAAATCCCGTAGACAAGCCGTATACCAAAAAAGTAGAGATCCTACACCAAAATATGGTTCTCCACATAAGATTTACAGTATATATCATAGGCGGATCCAGGATTTAAATTCTATGGGTTCAACTTTTAAGGTTTTTAGCATTGAATCCATTATATTTTTAAAGTTATGGGTTCATATCTACTATTTTTGTAATTTTAATGAATTTTTACATATAAATTTTTACACTGTGTCGAAAGTTATGGGTTCAGTTGAACCCGTTAGTTCTTCACTACATCCGCCTCTAGTATATATGACACGCTCTAGCATAAGTATGGTATCTAAGATTCATAGTCTATATAAAATCTAAGACACCACCTAAAATTAATGTAAGTTTACCTTGTTCTTAACTGTACAATTGTCCTACATGCCACATATAGTAGGAAAGCTTCATGCGAAACAAAGGCCAAATGATGGTATAATGCATTAAAACCACTTGTTAGAGACAGTTTGAGTTTATCATACCTTCAGCCATTACTTGAGTAATTATCTCATCCTTCTCTTTGAGAAGAGCTGCAGCGTCACTTTTCTTATTCTGTTCCCTGCGAAGTGTATCCCTCTCCCGGGTTAGAGCATAAACCTGAAATAAATGAATGTCAAAATTTTCATTAGTAACACTTTTTTTAAATGGAGAGTAGTAGCACATTTAACAACAACATAACTACACATTGCATGTTTGCCTTTTAATAGCAAACAGTAATGGTAAGACACATTCCACAGGAAATATGATCTTAAGTAAAGGAGAAGTAGACGGTTGCCTCCTTGCAAACTTGACAGCTCAAAATTTTTCTTCTTTCCTTCATTTAGAAGTTCCCACCAGCGCCTCTAATGTCTCTGATTATTTGATCACCTGGCTATAATATAAATGTATTGCCACATGTGAAGCATTCATAACATTTCCTTCTGAAATATACGGAGTTTTGTAAGCTTTATACAGTAAAATTATAAAAGATTTCTCTGACCAAAGAGGGAAAAGGCCGAGAAATATTTCAGGCTCGGCATGGATTTTAAAAAATACATAAAAGAAAATATCTTCTAAATGAAGGACAACAACAATAAACCCAGTGTAATCCTATAGTAGGGTCTGGGGAGGATAGTGTGTACGCAGACCTTACCTCTACCTTATAAAGATAGAGAGGTTGTTTCCGATAGACCCTCCGCTATCTTCTAAATGAAGGAAAAGAAGAAAAATCTACAAAGAAGCAAATTTGTCCTCGAGTGACATTACATCCTACATCGAGTTTATAAGGACATCCGGAGGAGTTTATTACGATCTTGCACTACTCCACCTATTGTCTTAAGGGTTTGAATTAAATGTTCGGATTCTATCACATGGTATCAAAAATCAAAACCTTAGCATGCATGTGCTCGCACTCGTTAGTCCACATTCAAGTCCATGTGTGAGCCCAAAAATCAGGTTACACATGTGGAAGTGTGCGTTGAAGTCTCACATCGGGTAAATAAGGCATCTAAAGGGTTTATAAAGGTTTCGTGCTACTCCACCCATAAATTATCTTATTCTCTTCATTTTTTTCAGTTTCTTTGGCTTCCCATTATTTCAGAACTTTCTAATATAATTGTTTTTTGATCGCCGAGAAATCCCCAAAAGCCAGCTAGCACGCAATTTGAACTTAGGCGGATTATCCCCCTCCCCCCACCTTCTCCACTCAAGTACTAGACTTTTGTCTGCGGCAGGGTACAACTTATGAAGTGTGTCTAAACCGCACATCACATATTGCACTCTTACCACTAGAACAAAGCCCTAGGGCCTTTGAAGTAATATTTTGATCAGTAATAAAACATTGTGATATGCCTATTCACACTTTCGTATTAAAGAAACAAATAACAATGATGCCCTCANCCAGCCAACAAAATCTTTCTCTTCATTCTCCAAATATCATGTCTGTGCAGCATAAAAGAAGCTACTTCTATTTTTAATTTCTTTCATTTTTATAATAACAAGCAACTCATATATTTAGTAAATATAGTCTTACTAATTAGCAGGAAAGGGGTTCGACCCATTAGAGGCACAACTTTCTTCACTTATTCACCCATCAGCAAGACATTCCTGCATTGTTAGAGTCTACTAGAACCATTTAAAAACTAAAAAACTAAGGACCATACAAACATTATACAGAATCTCCGAGCATAAAATATGAAGAAGTTAAAGGCATAAAAGATGAAGCAGAGCAATTCAGTGATGCCTAAATGAAGCAGCAAAACTAAGCAACAACGTGTAAGCTCAATCAAACTGTCTTTCAAGAAATTCATATTACTGTTGCAATGAGAAACAGCTGATGATTAAGTCATAATGCAAGTACATACTACAGAAGTGGAATTTCAAGCTGAAACATCCTTTTAACACATACATACCTTTCTCTCAAGAGCAGACACTTTTTGATGGTACTCTTCTCGCAGAGATTCAACTTCTGCATCATTGGACTTCCTCTGTATAAAATTAGTGTGAGTAAGCAGAGAAAGATAAAAGTAGAAGGGAGTTTTGAGGGCTGAAAGATGAACCTAAAGTCAACATAAGAGGAAAGCTGCAGAATGGGGAACTAGAAAGTTTTTAAAACTGCATTGGAACTCATCAGTTTAAACAAGCACCCAAGGGTGTACCCTAGTGGTCAATGAAGTGGGAGGTAGCAGGTACCCCATGGAATTAGTTGAGGTGAGTGCAAGCTAGCCCAGACACCACGGTTATCAAAAAAAAATAAAAAAAAATACTAACTAAAGTTTGGATCAATTATACCCATTTATTCATTACAAAACACATGGATATTGGTGCGCTGTATGCTAATTCCCAGCAGCAATTACAGACCCAGTTGCACAAATAATATTAATACAAAAGTTAAGATAAAATGAACGATAGAAGAATTGCTTGCAAGGATGATTGTAGCCCAAATTATTCTGCACCTAAATTGATATATGAAACAGGCAGTGAGAGAAAGAAAGAACATATTAAGTACAAGTCATCTGACAAACAGAAGAGAAGATACGATTTGTCTAAGATAATATGCAACGTGTATTGATGTCAAAGTCACCAAGGATGTAACACTATGCCACAGCTATAATTCTTCCAGCCCTCCACACATCTAGTCCAGAGAAGTCCGATCAGATTGACGATATTTATAAAAAGTGCTTAACAAGTTAGCTGGTAATTAAGATGACTTGACCAGTTAAGCAGAGAGCTTACACAATACTGGCCCACGTGTGAGATTTACCGATCCAGAAGAAAAAATGCAAGCAAGGGGCCAAAGTGAAAGAAATATCATTAAATAACAAGCAGAAAAATAAAACTAGAAAAATCATAGAATAAAAATATAAAAAAATGAAAAGGATGATCCATCCTGAAACTATAATATGTCTTTGACTCGTGCCATTTGAAAAAATAGTGGACAGCAACAAAATGAGTTATAGCCTCGAAAGGTTTAAAACGATGGGAACTTACTCTCAGATCCTCAATAGCAGACTTCAGTTGCTCGTTCTCATTCATCAACTTCGCAATTTCATCAGCTTTCGCCTAAGGAAAAACAGTAATATGTCATCTCATTGAATGTTCATATTTATAAACAAGGACTGAAATTCAGGTCCAGCACACCAAGTGAATTCTTTTTTCAAGTATGCTGCATAACAGTAAGTTTGGATAATGAGAAGTTAAGCACATAAAGGGAAAAATTAGTCCCAATCTCCCAAAACCTAATATTTATTCATTGGCTTTGGAATAATCTTGCTGCATAATAAGAAAGGGCTAAATGCAACATATTTTTAGCTTCCCTCTAAGTCTTGTCTTTCAGCGTGTACCAACATCCCGTGCCAGTGGATGTTGCAACTTTTCAAAAGATCCACAGACTCTAACAACTGGAAATATCCATTTTTTCAGACATTTGGGAACTCAAGATGGGAAACTATGCTATATAAGACAAGTGCAAGAAAATGTCAAATGGGATGAGTCTATGACGCACACAGAAGATTCAAATCAAGACTTTTTGTAACTGAAGCTGGCTTTAGTTAAACTTCAACTCACTGAAGCAACTTTTATCGATGACCTCACAAGTTGGGAGGATGATTGAAAACGAATGGGATTGAGCTAATCTTTAGATAACAAAATGGGAATTATTGGACACTCCTACTTCAGGTGCAGACACCAAAAACGTTCATATTCTCAAGTAATATCGATAGATTCAGAACCTTGACATTTCCCTGTTTTATTCAGCATGTTATCCTGCGTTATTGCTGATGCTGAGGATCACCAGGTGCATAAACTTCTGTTAAAGGATCATAAGCACATACCTGTGCTTGTCTAGCAGCTCCTTGTAATGCAGTTTCCATCATTTTCATTTCCTTCTTCAGCTTCTCCAGTTCAACCAATGTGTCTGTAACATCAGAAGAGTTGCTTCCTGAGCTCAACCGTTGTTCTTTCACGTCAGTCTCATGATCATTTCCTCGCTGGGTAGCCCCAACAGGTCTACTAACTGACTCATTTTCATGCATAACTGATTCAGATACCCTCTTCCGACTTTCATCTGTGTGCTGGTCACCAAGAAAGCTCCTGTTAGAATGCTCTTCAACACTGCCATCTTCACTGGCAGTTACAGAATCGGAAATAGAAGGTCTTCCACTTTCTGCTCGTTCACTTGACGCATCCTGTGATTGAACTGGAGGAGACTCCTCAGTGACTTCTTTCTTCTCTTCCCTGTCTGCTCGGTCACTTGATGCATCCTGTGATTGAACTAGAGGAGATTCATCAGTGACTTCTTTCTTCTCTTCCCTGTCTGCTCGGTCACTTGATGCATCCTGTGATTGAACTAGAGGAGATTCATCAGTGACTTCTTTCTTCTGTTCCCTGCCATCGTCGGTATTTTCCTGTGAATCAACAAGCAACGGGATACCAACTTCAGTTTGAGATAAAGCATTTGATGTTTGGGAGGCAACCAACTCCAGATTTTCAGATGATTTTTCCTCTGGAATATTCTTTTGGGGGATTTCTGGAGATTTTTCCTGAGCATGATCTAAATTGACTTCCGACGCTTCAGCCACTGAATCAATTTCAGCTTTTATTTCATCTGGTCTAATAGCACTTCTTTGCTCTTCCCTCTCAACCTTTGTTTCCATAGCAGAGTCTAGTTTGACATCAGCAGCTCTTGCTTCCTCATTTTCTAGTTTGACATCAGCAGCTCTTGCTTCCTCATTTTCTTCTTCAGCAGATATCTTTTGGTTTGGTTTCTCATCAACATTTTGTGCTTCTTCATTCGCTTCTTCAGCAGATTTAGTTTGCTCAATTACATCCCTTGTTTCTTTTTTTGGTTCTTTAGGAACTACATCATGTTGAACTGTAGATTCAGCTGAATCTTCAACTACCTCCTCTGTGGGCAAGGTGGGCTTTGATGACTCAGCTTTCTCTATAGATTCTACAGCAGTCTCCCCACCTTTTTGTCCCATAAAAGCCCTGACAGGATCAAACAAGGCCTTCCTATCCGTACTGGAAGGCCATAATCCTGAAGCTGCATGCAATCACAAGAAAAAAAAAAGGAAACATTGAAATAAATCTGTCAGCCCCGAAATTTGACTATTCCTAAGAAATGCAGCAATATAATATACTTAAGTAGGCTTAACTGAAGGCATGGAATATGCTATAGAGGCTATCAGTACTATGCAATTCTTTGTAGAATCTATGATTTGTTCGGGATTACAGTAACACTAGAACCAAGTGTTTGTCCGGTTCAGGACTTCAAATTAGTATAGTGATAAGTGTGAGATTTAAAGAAATTCTAGTTCTAAAGAATCCTAATTTTCCTGAATATAGCGGAATAAACATACATCTATTATCTATATAGCTGAACCCAACTATGTCTAGGATTAGGCATAGCTAATTGATAGGAATGATGTATTTGGGAAGTTTAGACCAACAAAAGCGTATTTAATAAAACGATGAAAAGTATAATAATCATATAACGATCGAAAAGAGATACCTTCAGTGCTAGTTGATTCATCAGATTTCTCCTCGAGACCAAGAGCCGTGTCGAAATTCTTTTCAATGTTTTTGACACTCTCACTGAGCTTATTGACGGCACCGGCAAGATCCAAGTTCCCCAAATCAAGTTTCCCACTAAACCACGCCATTTCCTTTTCACACTCGATCCAAAGCTCAAATCATATGGCAACCTCCTTCATCCTATCAAATTAAATCACACATTGTCAAAATTCTAGGAATCAAATAGAACGTCTATAAACAAAACTACCGATTCAGATCCCATCATTCAATAATTGCCGATTCGGATAGTTGCAACGAAATCAAGGGAAGTAACGTGGAAAAAAAATATTGAGAATTTTTTTAAAAAAAATTGGACCTTGTGAAAATGAATTGATTGAAGAAGCTGGATTTGAAGAAATCTCCTTTGGGAAGTGGAGATTGAATAAAGATTTGGGCAGGGGCGTAAAAGAAATCGATCTGGGAACGGTGAACTTCAGCGTCGACCGTCACCCTTTTTTTCTTTTTTTTTGTTTTCTAATTTTAAACGTTAACGGCGTACAAACTGGAAATCTCAGTATTTTTATTTTTATTTTTGTCACTCGAATAGGCTTACTGGAGTATATGATATCTTGACATTAATTATTTTTGAAATGTTTGTATTCGTACAAATTCTTTTTAATTTCTTTTATAATGATTTTATAAATTATGTCTTAATCAGTTGTATTTGGCCTGTTTCGTTCGTACAAAGTTTTCTAAAACTAAAGACTTTTAGATCTCGCATTGATCATGACACTAGCATACACTAACCAAACCAAAAAAACAATGCTAAACGCAATATGTAAGTTTTGGAGCCTTCTCTTATTATTTTTATAGCACGTTTGGCCAAGCTTTTAAAAACAACTCGTTTTATAAAGCGTTTTTCTCAAAAGTACTTTTTTGTGACAAACGGTTTGTGTTTGGCTAATTAATTATGTATACGGTAGGAAAAAAGTGATTCCACGTCGAGAAGCCAGAACGCCGAGCTCGGGGTCTGGGTCGAGGTCGGAAGAGGGCATACCTCGAGATAATACCGTTCTGGTTCAGTAACAGAAAGAGCTAGATACCCGCAACGGCCCGAAGATCCCGGCGTAAATTGCGGAATGGATTGACCCTTGACGGTTAGACAGTTGTCAAATATGATTTCTTACTGTAGTTAGAAGTGTACCTTATTTAGGATTCCCCTATTATATAAAGGGGAACTCATTTATTTGTAAGAGATACGTTTTGACTGATAAGATAATATATATATATACTTTATTCTCTAACTATTTTATTCATTGTTTATCAGAGTTGCTTTGTAATTCCCACTATTCCACCTCGAGGTTGTCATAACTCGAGGTCGAGATTTGGCTTGCGTGCTGGTTTGACTTATTTTATTCTTCAATTTATATATTTAATTCCTTGTTTATCAATTGGTATTGGATTAAATCACATATCCTTAAAACCACAATATAAGTTTATTTGTTACTCGGATTTTAGGATAAACAGTTTGATGCCCGCCGTGGGGCTAAGGATAATAGTGGTTGTTTCAGTGTTGATTCTCATAACACACGTTATTTTCACACTTGTTCTTGTAAAGAATTTTTGTTCTCACGTTAAAACATGTCAAACTCACAAAACGCACCCGTACATGGCAATGACGGTCTTGGATTTCATGGGGAAAACGATAACGTAATCGCTCCAGGATCCGGGGTGCCACAGGCTAATCTCGGGGGAGTACTGATCATCAATCCAGTCGATATTAGTCCACACATTGCTTTAAATGCAGATTTAAGTGCGGACCCCAAAGGGAGTGTACGCAGGAAGGCCGATCTGGTGGCCAAGGAACACAAGGCGGTATGAGACAGGGGAGTTAGTCTCCAGGTAATATTCGAGATGTTACAGGCTCAACATTCCGTTATAGCTCAGCTTCAGAGTCAACATAGAACTCTGAGTGTGGTCGAGCCCGAAATCACTCGTCGTACCGAGCTAGTGCCGGAAAGGTCGAATGGCAACGGGTCAGGGACTGATCCTAAAATTATGAAAATGCTCGAGGAAGTCTCCAAAAGAATTGAGTCAAGAGAAAAAAATTGAAGATAATGACAAAAAAATGGAGACATACAACTCCTGAGTTGATCAGATACCGAGGGCACCCCCGATCTTAAAGGATTTGGACTCAAAAAAGTTTGTATAGAAGCCTTTTCCTCAGAGTTCGGCTCCGAAGCCCATTCCTAAGAAGTTCTGTATGCCAGATATACCTAAATACAACGGGACCACCGATCCTAATGAACATATCACTTCGTATACATGCGGGATAAAGGGAAATGACTTAGAAGACGATGAGATCGAGTCCATTTTGTTGAAAATTTTTGGGGAAACTCTATCAAAGGGAGCGATGATTTGGTATCATAACTTGCCACCGAATTCCATTGACTCGTTTTCCATGTTAGCATATTCTTTTGTGAAGGCACACGCTGGGGCCATAAAGGTCGCAACAAGAAAAATAGATGTTTTCAAGATAAGACAAAGGGATAATAAAATATTGAGGGAGTTCATATCCCGATTTCAGATGGAATGCATGGAGTTACCACCGGTCACAGACGATTGGGTCATTCAAGCTTTCACCCAGAGGTTGAACGAGCGGAGTTCGATAGCATCATGACAGTTGAAGCAAAATTTTGTCAAGTATCCAGCTGTAACTTGGGCAGATGTGCACAATCGATATCAATCAAAGATCAGGGTCGAGGACGATCAATTAGGAGCCCCTTCCAGTTCAGTACTTCCAAACAGGTTGGCAGACCCCAAGGGACATCTACAAGGAGACAAGGTCGAACAGAGAACGATATCAACCATATACCACAGATCGAAGAAATAGTGGCTCGGGGCGCAATCCTTCTCGGAATGATCGAAGAAGCGATTGAGGACAAAATTCTCAGGGACTTATGAGCAAAGGTGGTTTTGATAAGCATGTCGATCCAGTAGAGGCACCTCGGTTATCGGAATATAACTTTAGCGTCGATGCATCAAGCATTGTCTCGGCAATCGGAAGGATCAAAGATACTCGGTGGCCCAGACCCATACAAACCGATCCTTCCCAAAGAAACCCAAATTTGATGTGCAAGTATCATGGCATGCATGGTCACAACACCGAGGATTGCAGGTAATTGAGGGAGGAGGTAGCACATCTATTCAACGAGGGCCACCTTCAAGAGTTCCTTAGCGATCGAGCCAAGAATCATTTTAGAGACCGAGACACCAATAGGAAAAATGAATAGGAAGAACCACAACATGTCATTCATATGATCGTCGGCGGGGTCGATATTCCACAAGGGCCCGTATTCAAGCGCACTAAGGTGTCAATTACAAAGGAGAAGCGAACCCGGGATTACGTGCCCGAGAGCTTCTTATCATTCGATGATGAAGAAACAGAAGGCATTTCTCAACCACACAATGATGTTGTGGTAATTTCTATCTTATTGAATAAAGTTTAAGTTAAGCGTGTTTTAGTGGATCCAGGTAGTTTGGCGAATATCATCCAATCGAGGGTCGTGGAGCAACTCAGCCTACAAGATCAAATTGTGCACGTGGCTCGAGTCTTGAACGGCTTCAACATGGCCAGTGAAACAACTAAAAGGGAGATCACTCTACCGGTGAACGTGGCTGGAACCATTCAAGATACCAAGTTCCACATGATCGAGGGTGACATGAGATATAACGTCTTACTCGGAAGGCCCTGGATTCACAATATGAGAGCATTCCCCTCGACTCTCCACCAAATAATGAAATTCCCAACGTCGGACGGTGTAAAAACAGTGTACGAGGATCATCATGCTGCAAAGAAAATGTGTGTAGTTGACGAAGTAGTACCGGTGTCGACGGAAAGGTCGGGCGTCAAAGGTAAATAGAAAACCAAATAGCAATCACAGCCACCAGCCTCGACCGAATCGGGAAAGCAAGAGATAGAAGAAGATGAGGAAGATTTTCTGACCCCTCGAACCTTCATTGTCCCCGAAGACTCCGACGCTACCAAATCAACTGTCGAGGAGCTAGAAAGGTTATATTGATCGAGTACCTGCCTGAGCGAAAGGTATACCTGGTAACGGGGTTAAACCCCGAACTCAGGAAAAAGCTTATTCAATTTCTTATCAATAACATGGATTATTTTGCTTGATCCCATTTAGACATGATAGGGATCTCACCGGAGATAACAACGCATCGGTTAAGCCTTGACCCCAGGTTCAAACCGGTGAAACATAAAAAGAGGCCCCAGTCTGAGGTAAAGCATGCATTATAAAGGACGAGGTAACTAAACTCCTCAAAATAGGGTCCATTCGGGAGGTAAAATACTCCGAATGGTTAGCTAATGTAGTCGTAGTCCCTAAAAAGGGAACAAAGTAGATTATAAGGATTTGAACAAGGCATGCCCTAAAGATTATTTTCCACTGCCTAACATCGATCGCATGATCAATGCCACGGCTGGCCACAAGATCCTTACATTTCTCGACGCCTATTCCGGGTACAATCAAATTCAGATGAACCCAAAAGTCCTGGAAAAGACCTCGTTTATCACCAAATATGGAACATATTGTACAATGTAATGCCCTTCGAGCTAAAAATGTAGGAGCTACTTACCAATGCCTAGTAAATAGGATGTACAAAGAATAAATGGGTAAGTCATGGAAGTTTATATTGATGACATACTAGTTAAGTCCCTACGCGCAGAGGATCATTTGGCTCATTTGCAGGAAACATTCGAGATTTTGAGGAAATATAGCATGAAACTCAACCCCGAGAAATGTGCTTTCAGGGTCGGCTCGGGCAAGTTCCTAGGCTCCATGGTGTCAAATCGGGGAATCGAGATCAACCCCGATAAAATCAAGGCCATCGAAGACATCACCGTCGTGGATAACGTAAAAGCTGTGCAGAGGTTAACTGGGCGGATAGTTGCTTTAGGCTGATTTATCTCGAGGTCATCGGATCGAAGCCACAGATTTTCTCTTTACTCAATAAGAAGAATAATTTCATTTGGACCCCGGAGTGCCGACAAGTGTTAGAGGAATTAAAATGATACCTATCGAGCCTACCATTGCTTCACACCCTGAAGGCATATGAGAAACTCTACTTATACTTGGCGGAGTCGGAAATCGCGGTAAGTGGTGTCCTATTTCAATAAGACCAAGGTACACAATTTCCCGTTTACTATGTATGTCGAACCTTAGGAGAAACAGAAACTAGATATCTACACTTAGAGAAATTAGCACTTGCGCTAATAAGCGCTCCTAGAAAGTTGAAATCATACTTTCAATGTTACCTCATATGTGTGTTAACCACTTACACACTTCGTAATATTTTGCACAAACCCGAACTTTCGAGTCGATTGGCCAAATGGGTCGTCGAACTCAGTGGGTATGATATCGAGTATCAACCCCGAACGACTATCAAGTCTCAAATTTTAGCGGACTTCATGGATGATTTCACGCCAACCCACGTACCCGAAGTTGAAAAGGAACTCTTGTTAAAGTCGGGCACATCATCAAGGGTATGGACCCT